CCTAGGCGATGCTATTCTCTCTCTCTCTCTCTCTCTTTCTCTCTCTCTCTCTCTCTCTCTCTCTCTCTCTCTCTCTCTCTCTCTCTCTCTCTCAGTTGGCCTGTCTGTCTGTGGTTATTGACACACCAGGCAGTTCCGATTCGAGTTTGGTGTGCCAAGGCCCAAAGGACAACGAATGTCATCCCTGAATTGTCTTATCGGAAGGACAACGAACGTCGTGCTTGAATGTGGTATCTGCCTGGGTACGCGATTGGAAGATTTGCAGCACACGTGCCTGCATTGTGAGCTTTCTTGGCCTTTCAGGGACTGGTGGAGGCATGCGGGGATCTTGAGACAGAATGCTGACTCCCGCTGGATGGATGATTTTGTCTTCTGGACCGGCTTGTAGAAGAGGGCCAGCTGATGCAGGTCGCATGGATGCAGAAGAAACTTTGCCAGCTGCGTTACTGTGAACCCTGGAGACGCTCAGGAATTTGGCCGTGCGCCGGGGGAAGCGACTGATTCCAGCATTGATAAGACCAGAGGTTAAATATTCAATGAAGTCGGCAGCAATGTGCACAAACTGGGCTTTGAAAGTGCAGAATAAGGGCATCTCCTCTAAAGCTTTACAGCTGTTGCAGACCTGCTGGTCACTTTTTTTTTTTTTTTGGATCAGATATTAAGCCTCCAGCTCGCCCTCTCCACCCTCTCTCAAGCACGCAGCCGCTCTGGTCACACTGGCGCGTCACCCCGTGAGGTCCCTTAGCAGGACCTCCCTCAAGGCTTTGTCCCTCCTCGTGGTGTCCTTTCCCTTGAGGAGCGCGCGATCATTTTGGGCCGACGTGGGTGTTTCCTCTGCCGCCAGGGCAGTTATACCTCCTCGCGGTGCCCTTACACCTTCGCCCTCGGCCGCCACTACGCCGAGCTTTCCCGCAAGCGTCTTGCACAGTCCCCCCCCGGCGCCTAACATCCCCGCGGCGCCTCCTAGCCACGGTGCAGTATACACCTGCGCCCTCCTAAATAGTCGGCTTCCCGACATCTCCGTCGTAGTTTGCACATCTCGCTACTGGAGTTGGGGTGTCGCAGGACCTGACAGAGTGGACTCAGCCCTCTGTCACAGTACCATCTGCGCCTCCGCAGACCACTGTCTCCCTTCCTACCTCTCCGCAACTACCGACACGTCGAGCCATTCACTCAGCCCGTTGCAACGAACAGCTTGCGACTCACAAGGACGTTGTGTCCTCCCTTCTGGACTTGAGCATGCTCCAGGCTCGTCAGGAGCGACTCACCCTCCATGTCGCTGCACTGCATCGCCTTCTCGTCATCCTCTCTGACCCTGATCGCACCCTCCCGATCATCCCAGTACGACTCGGGACCTCCACGAGGGTGTACTTAGCGCTCTGGGATTCTGGTTCTCAGGGCAACTTCATTCACCCACGTGTGGGGAAGGAAGCACGCTTACCCACGACAGGGTCTCTGACTCCCATCTTCGTCACCCTAGGAGATGACAAGACACAGCGCTTCTTCGATCAGACGGTCACCGACCTCCCTTTCTTCCTCACTCTGGAGTCGACTGATCATCCCCCGACGTCTCGTCATCACCGCTCCTCTGCACATTTTGATGTGATGGAAACGGGGTACGACTTCATTCTCGGTACTCCGTGGTCTCGTAGGTTTCGTAGCACCAAGGCCGATTGGGCGACCAACACTCTCGTGCTCAGAACGAAGTGTGGACAGACGTATCGCGTACCTTTTATATGTACCACTGCGACACCACATCCTGATCCTCCTCCCCCGGAGCCTTCCGTGCCCACACCATTTCCCACTATCACCGTCACCTCGCCTCGGCAGTTCGCCCACTTCATCCAACAGGACGACGTCACCTTCTTTACGGTGAACATTACGCATCTCTTGCACTATGATCCACACTGTCCAGATGCCGAGCTCATCTCCCTAGAGTCAGATCCTCCTTCTTTCTCTATGGCTTCCATCTCTACTTCCCTCCCTCCGCCATCCATTGAGTCCGCCTCGTCGTCGCGAGCCGACGCTGACGCTGAGGAACTCACACGCTATACGGCCGACCTGGAGCCTGTAGTTCGTGACCTCATTCGAGAGTACCATGACGTTTTCCCATCGTCATTCTCGTACGCCGGCATCCCACCGATGCGCGACATCGAGCACTCCATCCAGCTTGTGCTTGACTATCGTGTCCATCACCAAGCACCCTACAGACTCTCGATCCCCGAGGTCACTGAACTCAAGCGTCAGCTTGAGGAACTCCTGAGACAAGGTTTCATTAAACCCAGCAACTCCCCGTGGGGTGCACCCGTCCTCTTTGCTCGCGAAGTGGATGAAACTCCTTGTCTCTGCATCGATTATCGCGGTCTCAACCGCTACAGGTTAAGAACAACTACCACATGCCTCGTTCCGACAAGCTATTCGACCGCTTAGCAGGCAACCGCTTCTTTACGAAGATCAATCTTCGTAGCGGTTACCATCAGATCCACGTCGTTGCAGCGGACCAACCAAAGACAACGTTTCGATCGCGCTTCGGCCACTATGGGTTTATGGTGATGCCATTTGGCCTCACCAATGCACCCGCTACCTTCCAGACGGTGATGAACGACATCTTCAGGGACATCCTGGAGCAGTATGTTCTCGTCTGCCTCGACAATATCCTGATCTACAGCCATACCCTTGAGGAGCATCTCAGACACCTCCACGGCGTCCTTGACCGCTTGCACAGACATGGCTTCTACGCCAAGCTGAGCAAGTGCCGCTTTACCCAACGCAAACTGGATTTCTTAGGACACTACGTGTCTAACCAGTGTCTCCACATGGATGACTCGAAGATCACTGCTATCGTGAACTGGCCTAACACCAAGTCCATCAAGCAGCCTCGTAGTTTTCTTCGACTTACGAGTTATTAAAGTAAGTTCATCCGAGCTTACGCCTCCTACTCGCATGTTCTTACCTCTACCCTCCTTCGGAAGAACCAACTATGGGCTTAGACACCCCTCCACGAGGACGCCTTCCGCACCCTCAAGAGGGCGGTGACATGTGCATCGGTTCTCCACCTACCCGATTTGATCGCCCTTTTATCCTTACCACCGATGCGTCAGACTTTGCTATAGAAGCAATACTTTCTCATATTTTCTCTTCCTCTCCTAATTCCTCTCATCCTCGCATCCCTCACTTCCCACCTCCTACCCCTACCACTGCTTCCTACTTGACGCCTACTCGTCCTGCTACTGACGAGCCTTCTATTGACTATTCTCCTACCACCGCTGAGGACGCCACTGTCGAGTCTCGCTCATGTGATTGTCCGATAGCCTTCTACTCCTGTCAGCTCATGCCCACCGAGATAAACTACACTGTTGATGAACGTGAGGTTCTCGCAGTAGTTTATGCCACTCGGCACTGGCGTCATTACATGCACGGGGCACCATTCATGGTGTGCACGGACAACTCTATTGTTCAGGCTTTTCTGACAAAGCCGAAGCTCATTCCTCGATAGGCTCGCTGGTGGCGCGACCTGTCCGATTTAGTTTCACCACTGAGCACATCAAGGGTGAGACTAATCGGGTCGCATGCCTTATCCCAATGCCTTGACCATGATTTGGAGCAGATTCGACTTGCTGCCATCTCGATCACCACCGTCCACCACTCGGTGATTGACGAGTTTCGCACTCAGTACCGCCATTCCCTCGACTATCGTGACATCCATGTGACTCTTCGGAGTGGCAAAACCGTCCCGAACTACTCTCTCGGGGACAACGGTTTTGTGTACTGGCACAGTTCACATGGCACCATAGAGCCCCGTATTTGTGTTCCCTCCACTGGACAGCTACGTGTTCGGGCAGTAGCAGAGTTTCATGACCAGGCAGTCATCGGTCATATGAGCTCCCACAAGACATTGGTTCATGTGAGTCGCCTGTACGTCTGGCCGAAGCGCAAGGACTTTGTGAAGGACTACGTCGCAGAGTGTCCCACCTGTCAAGAGGTTTGCTCCAGCCTCTTCCTATCCCTGAGGGTCGTTGGCAGTCCATCTCGATGGACTTTATCGGTCCTCTTCGTCCTCCGACCCCCCGCGGTCATGATGCTATCCTGGTCATCATCGACCGCTTCACAAAGTGCGATCGATTTGTTCCGTGTTGTTATGCCATCAGTGCACGTGAGGTCGCTGACATCGTGTTTGACCGAGTTGTGCGTGACCATGGCTTACCCCTGAGCATCATATCTGACTGTGACCAGCGCTTTACCAACCGATTCTGGCCACGGCTCCACGAGGTCTACGACACCCAGCTCCGCTTCTCCTCGAGTCCTCGGCTTACCATCCCTAGACGATGGTCAGACTGAGGTCACGAACAAGACGACCAGTAGTGGGATCTCCATCTTGCCCATGCGGAGATAGCCTACAACCACGCCCTCTCGCCAGCCACGGGGATGTCGCGTTACTATTGCGACCTCAGCTATCACCCTCGTGTTCCAACGGACTTCCTTTGATCGTCACAGATGCACCCCGACACGAGTTGTCTCGCGATGGATGATTGGGTTGCACACATGACGTCGATCATGAAGACCGCGTATGAGCACATAGCCGCTTCCCAGACTAGCATGGCCGCATGTGTGAACCGATCGAGGATGGATCATCCATTCAAAGTCAGTGATGATGTGCTTATTGATGCCTGTCACTTACAACTCGAAGCGGATACGCTTCGCAAGTTTTGGCGTCGCTTCTTTGGCTCATGTCGCATTCTCCATGCCGTCGGTTCTAATACGGTATCTAGCTCGGTCAGCTTTCATGTGAAGCTGCCCGACTACCTACACCAGGCTCGTGTGCACGATGTCTCCCACGTCTCGTTACTGCGTCCCTACCGCAAACCGCTCTTGCGTTTCGCTGGACGACCATACGAGCGCCCTCCACCCACCATGGTGGACGACCACGAGGAGTTCCTCGTTTCAGACCTCATTGGTCGCCGAGTCACCGATGACAACCCTTCTCACGTCAAGTATCTCGTACGTTGAAAGGGTTACCCTGATGAGGAGGCTACTTGGGAGCCCCTCGAGCACTTGCATCACGCTCGCATGTTGGTGCATGCCTATGACCGTGCTCGTCGTGCTGGGTTGACTGCGCCTCCTCAGCCCACTGACCCTCTTCCTTCTCCCTCGGCTAAGGAGACTGCTGAAGTCGAGCCTGCTCCATCTGGGGTTGACCTTCAGCAGCAGCTTCTGAGCGTCCACAGCGCACTCGTCGTCATTCTGCCCGATACGACGATTGACTCTGACTTATCTTCCCACGTCTTTGACTTCTCGATGCTCCAGCCACTCCAGTTTTGCTACTTCGGCTCGTCGATGTTGTGGCTTTTCCTCGACGGCATTCCAGACTTCTCACCATGGACGTCATCGACAGCTTCACGGACTTCGTCACGATCAGTTCTGCCTACTTCAGACATCGTCACTCTCTTACCACCTTACCCTGTACAGTACCCTGGTTGTGTCGCATGATGGTCTCCCTTCGCCGGGTTCCTCTGAGTTGGGCTCTCCCTTGGTATACGCATAGGCATCGGGACCGTAGCGTTGCCCTAGCTTCCCAGCTTACGGATCTAGCTCCGACTCCCCTCACTTTAGGAGTCATTTGCATGATTCCCTTACCCATCACTTTTTCTACCCTCTGGCGGTCCTTCCGCCCTAGTTAGGCAGCCTTGCATGCTTTATCTAGGTGCGCCCAGTATACTTGGCTCCCTTGTTCCCTTGGATGGTCGACCCTCCATAGCGGTCACCCCTTTGGTCAAGCATTACCCGCCCTGATGGTCTATTTGTTAGGGTCATTGGTTCTGTTCGCTCCCAGTTCCCTACCCTCATTGAGTCTGATGTCATGTGTATCCCTGTCATTATGTGTGGATGCCCTTAGGAATTTATCGACCCCTAGGCTTCATTCGTCACCCTCAAAGACCATCCCACCTTGTGGTTTGCGACACACTTCTCCTGTGACATATGGTTGTTTTGTTGTTGCTTTGTTGCTCTCAGACTGAGATTACTGCCTCTAACTTTTCTAGGATTTAGTTGGTTCTGCTTTTGTCGTTCTTAGGACTTGTACACTAGTCAGTTGTTTCCAGACTGAGGCTACTGCCTCCAACACTCTAGGATTTAGTTGTCATTACCTTCTACTTTCCTAGGACATATATACTAGTTGGTTGCTTTCTGCTTTCACTTAGGCTATTAGTTGTGACATTGCTGCTTTTGTGACATTTTCTAGCCTAGGTTGCCTTGCATGGACTCAACATGGAGCTTGCTCCGCATCCTAGATTACTCGGGTTTTCTTTTCTTTGGTAGAGTTTCACTTCTTGGCGGAAGCGTGCTTGTATCTAGGCGATCCATCATAGGTCGAGGATCGTGTAGCGGACCTCTGGTTGGCCTGTGAGATCAGCCCCTTGGCCTGTTCCCACAGACCTGTGTTGTATTCGGGATAGGTCAGTCTAGGCCGGTACCTCTGTCGGTACCAGCCAGTCCAGTCCAGTCCAGTCAGTCTGTTGGGGTATACCCCAGCCAGAGTCTGTACTTGGATCATTCTACATTCGCACAGTTTGGTGTACGTGCGTCGGAGTCTACATAGGAGCTCCACCCTCATCCTCCATCTCCATCTCTATCCCAGGCAGAGCACCACATCTGGTGGGTCCGCCACATACCACATCTGGATCTTCCGAACACTGTGGACTTGGTCTTTCGGTACTGTAGCATCTACGAGCCTGACCTTTCGGTACTGTAGCAGCTACGACTTCTACCGTTGCTAAGACGTCTAGTCTACAATCTATTGTTGGAGACCCGAAGACCACACTACCTACGACAACCAAGAAACGACTTTCCAGACGTTGGTCGTGAGTTCAAGCTCACACGAGTCAACTAATACTGTACACGGGTGAGGGTGAGGTCTAGGGATCAAGCCCCGATAACTGCATCCGCTACCGTAAAGGTGAAAACTGTTTCACATGTGTCCTGCAAGTCACATTTCCCCGACCGCTTGAAATTGACAAGGGCACAACAACATGCGCAAATTGTGTTCTCTTCCTTTTTGTTGTGAGGCATGTGTCCTCGTTTCGTAAGCATTTGCTTGTAGTATATGGCTCTAGAATTGGTTGTTCATGACTTAATGTGCTCTTAAAATTGTGAAACGGTGTTAAAAAAAAAAAAAAAAAAAAAGTTAAGATTGTTTTGCATACTGTTCATGGTTTAGCTATCAGGGGACCGCCTCCTCCAACCACTTCTCTATGCGCTTATTAAAACCACCACCACTCACCGGACCGTCACCATGCATCGACCGAAACAAATACCCCCTTCTTATATTTTGCCCCAACCGGTCATAACTACTCAACAACTCTGGAAGCCAACCCAAGAAGGTTTCCTCTTCTCCTTAGGGATCGCGCAACCTTATCATAAACCTTGCACCATGACGATCATTCTTAGTGTACCCTGGCCACACAGCCCTCTGTTCGAAATCAATCTCCTTATACTGTAATCTCAACCCCTCACCTCAATGATGCTGCCAACTCTCCCATAAATACAAGAACGCCCCTCTATCACGATAAGCATGAGCTTCCGGATATCCTTTCAATACCTTCAGCTTACATACATATGGTTGTAAATAGGTTGAGGATTGTATATCTAGGTTACTGACAGTACAAACTGTCTACTTCAGTTGTTGGTTTACCTGTCAGATAGAGTGGAATAGAAACCCAGATATTTGTCATGCCGGTATGCCTGGTTGATTTCAAAAAGGCCGCCTTGTGATGTAAGTGGGGGATGTTGCGGCACTAGGCCTATTTCCCAACTACATAAAAGCGTTGTTTCTAAAAACAATAATAAAATCAAGCGAACCAACGGCCCTAGCTCAGTTGCAATCCATCCAGAGTCGAGATCCCACTAGCAACAAGGATTGGATTGAACGCCTGAATGTAGACGTGATCGTGGAAAGGTGCAAAAGTTCGTGATAGAACTGCTTTTCCGCACCTCTGATTAAAACACGTCCAGATTCAGGAGTTGAATCAAATCCTCTTTACTAATTGGACCTCGCCCCTGAAGTTCGAACCCAGATGGAATCAAATATAAAGTAGTTTTTTTTTTTTTTTTTTTTTTTTTTAAGGATAAATGCTCTTGTCTATTTGTGGGGAGCAGCACGTGCTAGGAACCGGACACAGCGTCCCATATAGAGTTACACAAGTCATTTGAGATACCGGGGTCATTACCCGGCTTCGGCTGAGAATCAATCTAAGAACTATTTGAAGAAATTCAAGAGAATTAAAGGCGAGGCTGAAAAACTATGAATGACTACTGACCTCTTTTCGAATGCTC